CTACGGACCTCCATCTGGCCCAATCCGATTCGATTAATGAAATAATTAGTACAATATCTTCTTGACAAGAGAACAGAATTGCTGGAACCACAGTTACTCGACACTTGAAACCTACAAGCACGGAGTTCGTGGAGTCTCTGTATAAACCCGTAGTTCCAGGCAGCTCCGTACAGACACGCAGTTCAGTGGGTCCCCGTATAACGTCGTAAGTGCTTGAAAGTCACTTCTGAGATATAGCGCTTCAAAGTTTTGGATTTACATTGTACCTTATGGGCGGCTGGATTTTCAGACCAGAATTACTATTGAACTAATTGACATATCGAAATGCGGTTTTCGCTGATCGATAGCCCTTGGTTCCCTCTATCCGACGCACTTCATAACTCGAAATTTTCAAAAAACATAGTTACGACCCTTTACGGCGGCCTGCTGAACTCCGTGTTTGTACCGAGCCCCCGGGAACTGCGTGTTTATACGGAGCCTCCACGAACTCCGTGTGTATAGGTTTCAAGTGTCGGGTTGGGAGAGATCTTGCAATATACAACTGAAACAAATAATGCATACACACTGTGTCTGTATCATCTCAATCAGTAGGGTGAGCATCAGTGTGTGTCCTTGATAGTGAAAGCAGTGATTACAATTGCTAAAGTAAATTCAAATTTGATGCTGTCACTGTGTACTTCTGATCAGAAACTTTTAGTTCATTCTTCTCCTACACAATTCTCAAATTAAATGTCCATGTACTTGTACCGCAAGTATCTGCACTCATCGTACAGAGTTCTTGCGAGAAGTATTTTCCCTTGCAACAAGCTTATTAATGCTCCCTCTAAGCGTGTTGACTCTGAATCGATTTCATCATTATTATGATTTTAAATAGTGATAAGCTGATGTCATAGTTTTGCTCCTAGAATTATTTTGGACAGACACCTTTTTATGACATCTGTGCAACTCATGTCTAATTTGTCTCTTCATCCTTCAGGATAATCAAAGGAGCTCTCATGTCAGGGAGGACATCGGATTTGATGTTGATTTCGTGGAGTATGGGAATGTAAGTAAATTTTTTACTGTTTTCTGTACATATAATATGCTGTTGCATTTTAACATTTAACTCTCTTGTTATGTAGGGTGCTGCAAACCGAACGAATCAGCATTCCAGTATAGATGCTTCACAGCTGTTCGAAGAATTGATGGAGGACAATTATGAGGTAAGAACCTTATTCGATACCTGTGCCAAAACATTACATGCAACTGGTGATTCTAGAACAGAGTTTTATTTAGACTCTTTATTGTGTTCAACCACCTTTTCCTTATTGGTAGCTACCTATGGAGAAAAAGGATAAATCTTTCACCATATGTTAATTGGATCAATATCATTATCATCGATATTTCCCAGACAAAATTGCTTTAACTATTATCTATAGGCTAATCTGGAACATTTTTTGTTGGGTGAAACATCTTTACTTTAAGAGGTTATTCATATATTTCTTAACACAAGGAATGGCTTAACACATTAACCATATCAGAATACCATGAGCTTGACTGTAAAGAGGTCCCAAGTGTGTGTTCTCCCAATTTTAGGATATATATTTTTCTAAAGTTAATGCGAATATTTTCTCCGGAGAAAGTGGTGATAAAAAGTGGTCAATAGCTTGTTTGTTTCAGTTTATCCAGGACTGCAGATTAACACAGGTGTTTTACTGAATTTTGAAAAATGAAAATGTTAAGCCATCTCTTGTGTTTGTACCCTTAGGTTCCATCCCTACACCTTCATTGGCTTAGAAACTAATTTTATTGACCAATGTACCAAAAAATGCTTTTTTGGGAGATAAAAGCCCCCTTAAGACTTACCTCAATGTGTAGAATCTTTTTATATTCAGGAATTATTTTGCAATGCTTCTTTTTGTGTAAAACTCTTGTTTAGTCAGAATGAGGAACTTCTGTTTTTAAGAAGCTCCACAAGATTTTATAAGCTTGATTCACACATTTCTTGACTACATTGGTTGATTAATTACAAATGCTTTATTTTTGGCTACATTTAGATTTTATAAACTTAAAAATTCTACTAAGAATGTTCGTTAAGTAATCTTCAAATTTCACCATTTTCCAGAATTTTAGACCATCATCCGGGAGGGGCCGCTCTGCGCGTGGGCGACAGGGTTCCCGAGGCAGAGGACGCCAGAGCCGCGGCAGGAGTAATGGCCGGGTCTGCGCACAACCGTCACAGCGTCCTGCAGCACAACCTCCACCACCACCTCCCCCAGCACCTTCACCCGAACGGACCCAATCTAGAAGCGACAATCCGCTGCGCAATGAGGTGTTCTCTGATGCCGAAGAACTTCCCGACGACACGGAGGAGTGTCGGGGTCTTCGTCGGTGGCGAGAGTGCATCATTTGCAACGCTCGAGTAGGGCGATACGTCCTGTTGCCCTGTCGGGGATTCCCTGTGTGTGGCTCTTGCTTACATCGATGGTTTGTAGAATTTAGGAACGACAACTGCCCGCACTGCCGCGGCCCAGTTGTAGGGTGGCTCCGTTTGAACATTTAAATTTATCCTTTCCTTATTTTAGAAATGAATTGGGAATGTAGTTTATTTCTTTAATGATCCATTATCACCACTTCTTATTCAGAATTATTACATTTCCTTTGTGGAGTGTATTTTGTTTTCATTTGTACTTACTATTTCTTTTGGAGTGAATCTTGTATCTAGTTTGATATTGCTTTTATATTGTTAATATACTTATCTTTTCCCTATGGAGTTATTTGTGATTGTAGTTGTATGTTGCTTTAGTGGATCATTATGACTTTGCTGACAATTTAAATTTTAGTGACACTTGAGCCCTCATTTATTTCAATAATTATTAT